TACTACTACTATTACTACTACTACTACTACTACTACTACTACTACTACTACTACTACTACTACTACTACTACTACTAGTACTAGTAGTACTACTACTAGTACTACTACTACTACTAGCTAGCCAGCTAGCTAGCTAGCTAGCTAGCTGGTACTACTATTACTTCTGCTAGCACTACTACGACTACTACTGCTACTTCTAGTACTACTACTACTACTACTAGCTAACCAGTACTACTGCTACTACTACTACTACTATTTCGACTAGTACTACTACTACTACTACTACGACTAGTACTAGTACTAGTACTACTACCACGACTACTACTACTACTACTACTACTACTACTACTACTACTACTACTACTACTACTACTACTACTAGTACACTACTACTACTACTAGTACTACTAGTACTACTACTACTACTACTAATACTTCTACTTCAACTAATAGGGACTGCAATTTCGGCCTACTGTTTTTTCCTTTCTTTAATGAGTAGTGGTACTGCTGCTAGTACTACTCTTCGCAATCTGGATTAGTATTGCTACGAGTAATTACTAGACCAGTAGTCAACCAGCTGGAGGAAGGCGCTCTTGCAATCGCTGTTGTCCTGTTCATATGGAGGACACGGACTCCATTGGCCGGCATCGCTGCCGCTGAGCCTTCTCGTTTCAGGCACTGTGCTCTCGTGCGGTCTACGCTTTGTGTCTTGCTTGCCATGTTCGTCCAGTCACAATGCACTGTGAGACCACCCAGCAGCAGGGCTTGATTGATTGTTTGGTTTTCCGAAGCCGTCCTGCCTGTGCGTTGAGACTTCGTGCAGTCTTATCATCCTTCCCCGTCGTTTTTCCTCGACGGACCTTGCCCAGCATGCCTCGTGATGCCGGCCCCCGCAAGCCCACCCTCAAGCAGCTGGCGAAGCAGAAAGCGAAGGACATCAAGACCCGGGAGCGCAACGAGGCGACGTTCGCATCCGCCGTTCAGCACTCCAAAAGCACCATACTCGACGTGGACATGCGGTTCATTCAAGACACGCTGACCCAGAACCCGACTTGGATTTCTCCACTCGCTGGTCTGATCCGCTCGGGCTCGTTGAATGGTCTTCTGAAGGACGTTGCCAAGAAGGAGGAGACCGGTGGACTGGGATGGAAGGGCAAGTGCACCAAATGGGGCAGTTTGCCGCTTGAGATGGCGAGCTTAATGCTCAAGCATTGCGGTGTGGAGCTCGCGGAGGACGTACAGAAGGACGAACCCGTCGTACGGACCCTCTTCGAGATCCAGTTCTGGGCAGCCAAGTCGGCGTCCTTGCCATCTCGTGCGGACATTCGCTATCAGTCCACGTTGGTCAAGTTAGCGAGGGCCCGCATGGAGGACGTTGGTCGCAACTACATAGCTGCGGTGAACTCGGCGGAGGCTATCAGTGTTGACCGGGACAGGTACAACATCTGGTCACTTAGAACAACACGTTGTACTGCCACGTCTTTGCCACACAAGATGGACACCCTCGCCGTTCCCGCTCGGAGTTCGTACCCAACGAGTCGTACCTCAGCCACGAGCTTCCTACTCTCCCGGACAACAAGACGTGGCAATTGGACGACCCTTTTGCGGTGGACTGTGTCATTTCAGATGGACAGCATAACTCGTTGTTCAGTTTTGAATGCGCGAGTTTCTTTCCTACTTTGCCGGACATGAAGGCCAAGTGGACCTTCGACTTTGCCGGACAGGAAGGCCAAGTGGACCTTCGACTTGTCGTCGGACGCAGACACCACGGCTGGCCTCGGCGACAATGTGCCGCAGGGCACCCCGTCGGTCCGGAGTGCATAATGCACTCTCTCCTGGTAGTTCAGTGTGTCTTGAGTTTGGGGTTGACTTTACTCGTTGTTCTGTCCAGTTTGTTCACTCGAAAAGCACAATGTCGTTCGCCTCGCCGTTCGACCCATTGTGTCTGAGTGAGTGGACAGGCACGAGTTTCACTGGGGCCGTGAAGCCGGCAACTTGCAAGCTGCATAAAGGAATACGTGCGATGAATGGCTGACTGCAATAATGACTTCCTTGCGGTGCCTTGCAGTATGTGCTACATACATGTTGCAGAAGAACACAGACCCATGACACGTGGTGTGAGCACTGCCTTGCGACATCAGCGATTCGTTGCCGCTGTCTTTGGGCTTCCAGAATAAAAGCTGCATGCCTGCAGAGCCTCCCTTTCTCTTGGTTTGGCAGATGTCACATATACTTCCTGGGACATAGCCTATAAAGTTTTGCTACATTCGTTCACCAGAAACAGACTGTAGAATTGATCCACTCGCTATCAGATGCTGGAGCCCGCTTCTGCCGATGGACCCTCTTCTTCAGGACCTCCAGCTTTTTTCAGCTCTGCGTCGGACAAGCGTCGGACAGTTGCATTTTGCATTCCCTGCGGGACACACGGAAGCCTCAAGGGCGAGAGCTACAAGTTCAAAGAGCCGCAGACCAAGGTAACGGATGGACATCGTTTTTGGCACATGCGTTGGTTTGTGGACTTCCTCGGAGGACACGAGTCTCGAAATTTCCTCGCAGGCAGTGTGTCGACGTTCAGGAACAAGCTCTTCACGATTGCATGGCCCTGCTGGACAGACACGGAGGACGCTCTGAAAAAAGAGATCGAGTCGCACTTTCTCCAGAGTTCGTTCTCCCTCCTCAAGCAGCAGGAGCACGCTGCAAACGCCGAGAAGAAGGGCACCAAACGAAAGGCATCCTCGCAGCAGATGCAGGACGACATGGAGGACGACAACGAGCAAGCGGACAATGAGGAGCACACGGGTGACCAGATGGAAGAGGTAGCAGCTGGACGAAGCACACGTTGTACAGAGTTTGCCACGTCGAGCTTTGCAACGATTGTTCTTTTGCATCAATGGCACCAGGGTATGCGCAAAGATGCCAAATGGAAGAAGCCGGCAGAGGAGGTATCCAAGCTGGCCGGGGAGTTGCTTCAAGGCCTCGCTTCCTTGTTCCTGCAGACCCCGCAGGACTTCTCATTCACGTGGGACGGAAACACTCTGGTGCTGCCGTTCAAAGGAGGTTCGCTGGACGTGGACGAGGTTGTACTGCAAAACAGTTTACTTGCTAAAGTACTACACCGCGATCGTTCCCGATTCATGGACGTGCTGCAGGATGTGAATGTGGACTGCACCCGTCGGACAATTGGAGACACTCGCAAGTCATCTAGTTTGAGGACGAAGTACTACTTGTTGGCGGCTTTGGCACGTGCCATGGATTCGTCGGACGACACGCATTCCTGCTGGACATCTTTGAATGTGAAGCAAGTGATGCAGCTTAGGAGAGAGGTTTCGATTCGAGGGTTTGGAGGGTTTGAAGGGTTTGGAGGGTTCCGGGGTTTTAAGATGTAGGGTTGTGTCTTGAAAGCCCGAAAATTGATATTCCCCCTGTTGTTTCAGGAGCACCTCCGGATATCGTCGGTCGTCCACGAGTTTTCGACAAGAGGTTGCGAGTTCATCGAATGCCACACGCAGGACACTTACCTCCACATTGCAAGGACATGCGTTCACCGTGCAGGACAGCAGCGAACAGCAGGACGAACAAAAGATCAAGAAGCACGCTTCTATGGACGCACACAGGCTAGCACGCATGGAGCGATACGCCTATGTCACGCAGGGCAAGTCAGATTTCCTCTCGACGGACATTTTGTGCGTGGTGGCAGATGCAGTGCACGTGGGAAGTGACGATTGGCTGAACATCATGGTGTACAACCACACGACGGACAAAGTTTGGGTCTGCCCGCCGCAGGCGCTTTTTTTTTTTGTTAAGCAACACATATTTCTGAGGCGTTTTAGGCAAGAGGCGAGGTACGTCAGAGCCTTGCTTAAGTTGACCTTTTTGGGTGCCGTTTTCGTAGCTTCTGGGTCCGACCAAAATCGTTTTTCCGAGGGGAGGTACACGTATCCCCGCTCAGGCTCGGTTTGGGGCGGAGTCTTTCTATTGTATTTTATATAAAGATAGGTACACGTATCCCCGCTGACCCCTGGGTTTCGGGATTGGCCTGATAAAGGCTCCCGGCCGCCCTTCTACTGATGAGTAGGTACGCACAGCCTTGCTTAAGTTGACCGGGTCCCGGGTGGAGGCCGAGGAACGCATTTCGGCCACATTTTGGCTGCATTTCGGCCCCCAAAAAGGTACGCCAGATCCCCGCTTAAGTTGACCGGCCGGTCCCCCAAAAAAGGGCCCCTGGGTGATTATATGGTAACAACCTCTGTCGTTTGTTTTGCATGCTGTTGCTGACAAGCTCTTCCTCTAAGCTTTGCTTCACATTTTTCTCTGTGTAGTCAGACCACGCAGCAGGTCCAGAAATCGTCCGTCTTGTCGGCTGAGCAGTGGAAAGCTATGTGGAACAAGGCTTCCAAGAAGTTCCTCGGGATCGAGAAACCCGTTGGACCTGGTCATGCGGAGGACCGGCTGGCCACACTGTCTTGGATGCAGGACATAAACCACGGCTTGCGACCCATTGGCTGGACTTTTGGCTGCTGCCAGAGCACGCCGGCCGGCCCCGCGGAGGACGACACGAAGGCTAAACGTGCACCGATCATGATTTTGTGCACCGACCAAGAAGCAACACAGCTGGCGGCTGTCTCCTTCTTGAGGAACAAAAAGAGCCTCTGGATCGAACACGTCTCGGACCCCGCCCACAGGTCGCACAACGACGTGGCTTTGGCCTTGTCGGCCGCTGGACTCCTGAAGTTCTGCACATGGTGCATCTCGCTGTACAACATCAGGTATGGACCCTGGCAGAAGGGCTCGTGGGCGTTGAAGATCCAGCAAGCCGCAAATCGCATGAAGGACAACATGGACCCCTCGGACCCGATATTGCTCCTTTTCTTCCCGGACATTCTGCTGGACGCCGGCCTCTCCCCCCTGGACGACAACACGGAGGAGAAACGCAGGTCGTTTTTGCAGACATTACCCGACATGGACTGCATCCGCATCAAGGGCACGAAGGCCAGCAAGAGTCGGTTCAATTCCCTGACGACGGCCCACAGCGCGCTGGACAAAGAGTGGTCGGTCTTGGCTTTAGTTCTCACGGTGGTCTGCTTGGAGCACAACTGGGCAGTTTCCACTAAGGACCTCTTCTCGCAGGACAGCAACCAGGCCCGTGCCTCGGTTCCATATGGTGGAAGCAAGTCTTCTGCCATACAGGAGGCCAAGCAAGGCATGGACCAGGAGCGGAAGGGCAGCGCGAACAGTCTACACTTAATGACGAAGTTCGTGATCTCGCAGGACAACAAGACGACAGCCAGGATGATGTTCCAGGTCTTGCAACCCGAAGAGCTTCGTTGTTCGCTCATGCTCAAGCAGCTGCGTTCCAAAGGCATGACGAAGGACTACTACTCTGGCTGGGCACACTGGTCTTGGATGAGCACTGCAAAGGACCACGTCAGGACTTTGTCGAATTTGGAAGGTTTATCTCGTGTCGGCCTCGACCTGACACTGGCACGCGCACAACCCCCGGAGGAGACAGAGCTTGTCTGGCAGGACTCGCTCGCAGGCCAAATGACGCAGTTGACACTACAGATCCTGCGGCTGCGGGCCGGGGCACAGCTGTACCATACTGGAGGTTTCGGTGCGACCGCAGGACTAGTCCATGCTGAAGAGCAGTTCCGTCGGGCAAGCTTGGATTTTTTCAAAGAGATGCAGTCTTGTATCCAGGACACGCACAGTGGTGGTTCTCGTATGGCAAAAAAATTGCTCGAAGGTCATTTCTCCCAAGGGCCGATTAGTCGGTACATCCTCGCCGATCTTTGCACTACCCGGTTTCAGAGCCTTACGGAGGACGTTGCACACGTATTGACCAGCATTTGGTCGGGCCTCTTGAACACGAAGATCATCGAAGACTGTAATAAAGTCCAGCGCGAGGCCGAGCAACGACATTCGTCTTCGAAGGACTTGGGTCGTTTGGACGGATGGAAGGCTGTGACCCAACAGGCCGTGGTCAAGATGTACGAGAGGGTGGAGGCACTGTCAACGGAGCTCTACCACACGCCGGCAGCGTTTGACGTGGCCAAACTTTTCTGCAAAGACACCGAGAAGAAGAAGATTCAAGCAGTTCGTCGTCGTTCCGATTCGTCGGTCAGCACGCAGGTCAGTGCCTCGGAGGTGCAGGAAGCACAGCTTCTTGCAGACGTGACGAAGACGAGGGACTGGGTCTCCCACAACCACGCCGAGGAACAGGAGGTTTTGGCTGCCTTCAGTTTACTGATGAAGGCGTGGAGGGCCAAGCGATGGTCGCTTTGTGAAGAAGGTTGGTGCTCTGGACTTTTGCCCGAAGGACATGTTGTACTGGCAGGTGCAGACCCGTTGTTCATCGTTCGGACATACCGTTTGGCTGCACTCGCATGGCCCGGCAAGATCGTTAAGGACAAGGACCATGAGTTTTTCGAATTCAACATGGGCGTTCGGTCTCTCTTTTGGATGCACAGCACATCTTTGGACTTGGAAGTGTTGCGGCTGCGAGTTGTTTCACCTCTGCGTGCCTCGGCTGCAGTACAGTTGAACATTGTCAGCCCGACACGGACATTCTCTACATATATATTCGTCCTATAATGAGTGACGATGATTGATTGACACGGAAGGCTTCTCCGGTTCAGATTGTAAGTTTCGGCCCGGGGGGGGTAGCACTGAAGCTATTTTTTATGGGTTTCTGAACAACTCAGGCGATTCGACAGTCAAGGATTCGAAGTTTCACAGAGTTAGGTTGAGTAGCCCAGGATGGCACGTGCGTCGAGGTTTTGGGTATTGACGAAAGGAGGGTGTGGTTGTGTGTACTGCTACCACTTTTTTGGCCATACTACTAGTGCTAGTACTAGTGCTAGCAGTAGTATTAGTAGTAGTAGTAGTAGTAGTAGTAGTAGTAGTAGTACTAGTAGTACTAGTACTAGTAGTAGTAATACTACTACTACTAGGACTGTTGCTGAGATTCCTTCTACTACTGTAAACTACTGCGATTGCTTGTAGTAGTAGTACTACTACTACAAGTACTACTAGTAGTAGTAGTAGTAGTACTACTACTACTACTACTACTACTACTACTAGTACCAGTACTACTACTCCTACTACTAGTATTACTACAACTTCTTCTACTACTACTACAACTACTACTGCTACTACTGCAACTACTAGTAGTAGTAGTACTACTACTAGTAGTAGTACTACTACTACTACTAGTACTACTAGTACTATCACTACTACTACTACTACTACTACTACTACTACTGCTACTACTACTACTACCACTACTACTACTACTACTACTACTACTACTACTACTACTACTACTACTACTACTACTACTACTTCGAGTCTTTTTACCAGTCTTCCTAGTGATATCACCGCTTTTTACTGACCAGGCGCAAAACTTAACGATTGCGATCATTTTTTACTAAGAGTGTTGCTGCCGCTACTGCTACTGCTGAGGTCGTTCCACGCAGGGCAGCCACCTCAACAACGGCATCGTGTTTTTGGTGGACAAGAAGATGGGCACGTTGGACTTTCACGCCGAGCAGGGCTTCGCTGCCTGTTCTGAGGCTTTGTTGCGCAGGTTGTGCCAGCACATGGGTTGGACCGCCACCCAACCCAAATCAGGTGTGGACGCAGGACATCAGCTGGCTGTTGCCGCCATGCTCAACATGGACAACTCGTTGGTCGAAGAGGACGTGGTTCAACGAATCCTGGCAAGGCATCAGACTGACAAGTGGATGCCGGAGGTCGACGACAAGGACTTGGAAGCCGTCGTTCGGGACACGCTGCTCATTGGCGAGCAGGACAAGGCCCTCAAGGAGCTCAGTGCCCGTCGGTCCACGGTTTCGGCCAAAAGTCTACGACCCAAGGTATGCACGATGTACAAGAACGCCGTCTCGGACCTGGACAAGGACTTTTGGAAGGCCGGACAGGACACACGCCGACGCAAGACTCAGAAGGCCGAGAAGGACAGCAAAAAGCTAAAGCAGCAGTACGACCGGGTGTACGCAAAGCTGAATGCCACGACGGACGAGCTTGTGAAGAGCATGGTTCCTGATACTGTACAGGTTTGGACGGACCCAAAGAATGGTCGTTGGAAGGTGTCGTACAAGACAGCTGTAGTCAGCATTACACGTAGTATTTCATGGACACAAGTAGGTGAAGCTGCCGCCGGTCGAGCCTGTGTAACACAAGGTTGGTCATGGGTGGAGCACCACGAAGGACGTGACCCACCCGAAAACTTGCAGGAGCGATTGACAAGGTTCGACTCCTGAGTTCACTCGGACTTGACATGCCCGTGATTGGACTTTTTCTCCTCGTAGCACATCGTCGTTCAGCATCGATGCACACATTCGTCGGGCCCAAAAGAGGATTATTCCGCTTTGCACGCGTGTTTGATCCGTGCAATTGATGCTTCTAGTCAGACTTCTGTAATGCACTGCTACGTGTGTGAGACAGTGGCGGTGATGTGGGTTCAAGTTCAGGAGCATGTCGTCCATGCATTGAGCACGTATTTTAAGTAGGCCAGACATGTACTGATATGGCGAGCCAACGCGCCCTCACTCACCTTCTGTGTAACTTTCCCCACGGACACACAAGATAATGAGTAGTCATGTAGCGCAACTGGAAATTGTACCAGAAATGTTTGTACTTGAAACCTAGGTTGTTATTCTCGGTGGGAGTCCATGAGAATTCAGTTTTGTTGAAATAAATGGAACGGAAAGAGTCTCTGTACATGTCTCGACTCGTGGTTCCATCCTCGAAGTATTACTCGTGCCATGGTGGCCCGGCCGAAGTTACAGGAGGTGGGACTGTCACGACGACCCTCGGCATACGCGCTGTTCATGCAGGACATGTGCAAGGACTCTGTGGACCCCAAATCTCGTCGTCGACTGTCCCGGAAAACATCACTTCGCGGTTCAATACATTATCTGCGCAAGTGGCTTCTTGGCTGCAAAATCAATATAGATACTGACACATGTGCCCCTTGCCTAGAACCCCAAGTCATCTGAAGCCACGGGAAGTAAAATCTTGGCAATTCTGGTCAGGAACCCGAATATGCCATCTTAGCTACGTACCAAAGTTATTTACTTCAGACATAATTAATAAGATGTAGCTAAAAGTCCTAATACAAGTCATGTTACTTTTTACTCGGGGATTACCTTTTCACCCAATCGTCCAGTAAAATTCCTCTGTTCCCCGAGGCACAACCGAAAGGACCTCCGTGACGAGTACACACGCAAGGCCAGGCAGGGCTACCAGGAGAATCGGGTCCAACGCGAAGAATTTCGACAGGCCAAACACACGGAAGTTCCCCCCGCTTCGTTCATGGACAGAGAACTGCCGGACGTCGCAGAGTCGCAGGACTTCGACGGTCGTGGCATTTTTCGCTACACGGCCGAGGACCCACTGGTGCAGGAGAAACATATGGGTCGCGGCACGTACGGGGAGATTTTCGCTTGCACGTACCAGGGCCTGAAGTTAGCCTTGAAAGTGGCCGTTCGCACGCCGGACAGGGAGACTGCACTGTTGGACGTGCACCAAGACGGTCTCGAAAAGACGTGGGACTTGACCCGTGAGTTCACTCTTTTGAGCCAGATAGGACCTCATCCGAATGTTCTGCGACTCTATGCCTTGCTGACATCCTCGACTGGGCACACGGGAATTCTAATGGAGCGGGCTTCCTGCGACCTCTTGAAGGCCACACGGGACTTGAAGACGGACGACCTTCAGGACGGAGTTCCCTGGAGCACACGACGAGCCCAAGTAACGACGTACTTTCGGCAGACACTCGCAGCTCTTACATTTGTGCACAGCAAAAACATCGTACATTTGGACGTGAAAACGAACAACTTCCTCGTGTTTCTCCTCGGCGAGCGGGTGGTGCTGTCCGACTTTGGTTTTTGCCGAGCTTTGCCACTCAATGGAAAAGCAAAAGTCAGAGCTGACGAAGTCTACACGACGTACTACCGGCCGATCGAGTGCCTTTACTCCGGGGACGGCAAGGCCTGGACCATGAATCCTAGTCGAAGAAAGTTGAAAGTAGTAAGCCCGGTGCGTATGTTCATTCTAGTAACACTTTATGATTTTGCGGATCTGAACTGCAGGACCAGATCAACCTCAGGCATTCCCGGATCCAACTGATGTCATTACTACTAGCAAACTCGCAATGGCCATTGTAATTGAAAACTTGACACAAAGATCTGATTCTTGATTCATAGAAGAGTCATGTCAGCACATGCAGTCGTAGACTCAGCTTCTTAGTCAAAGACATAGCCTGAAAAACTTCATATCTTGCTAGTAACAGCCATGTCTTTAAGAATTGACTTGTTTTTTGGCAGGAAGTATGACTATGTGTTTCATTTTGTTGTCGTTTCCCTTAACTGCTCAGCAGCTTCACTTTGATGAAAGAGGTGGAGATCGGCCCGAAGGCGGACATGTGGGCACTCGGTGTGGTGACGTGGGATTGCTACGCGAAGACGACACGCTCGCTGTTCACTCCCGACCCGAAGGGCTTCGTCAAGCACACGCCGACCATCTCACAAGCGCTCGTTCGTTTCCAGACTGCATGGCGCGAGAGAGCACGCGACCTGCACTTGCTGGACGACGACATCGCTGCACACGTTTTCGGTTCATGCTTCACATTGGAGCAGGACAGGCGCAGCTCACTCGATTTGTTGAAGGATTTGCAGGGCCGTTTCACGAGGACAATTCAGTCGCTGGACGAAGAAGAGGAGCCGTAGCAAGTCCCCGGTGTACGTAATGCTATAACTTTCCAACGTGTCTTTCGCAAAGTATGATTTTATGTCAGACAAGAGATGACGAATGTTGTCGCCGGTGGACTCGCCCGTGCAAGTTTTGCATGACACACGTTGTTCGATGACCCGATGTTTCGAATCATTGAATCAGTTCATTGAATCTCGTAAGAGAATTAACTTAAGAAGATTGCAGAAAACCAGAATAATGTATTAGACTTTGTGGTTGGGTTCTTTTTGTTCAGTTCCCCGCTGTCACACGATTGACGACCGACTTGTGCATGTCAAGGACGGCCCTTCGGCAAGGATAAAAAGGGCCGCTCATTCTGCCATTTGGAATCTGTAGGTTCTACAGAACATGTACATGCAGAGGCGTGTCTGAAGTCCTAAGGATAATACACCGCTGTTCCCCCACACTCCTTGGCTAGATGCTTTCCATTTCCATGTTGCAGGCCCTGGGGCAGAGGCCACACCCTTCTCACTCTGGCAGCGACACACGGAGCACTTCAAGGACGGTTTCGGCCGCACAGTTCAGTGCAGTCTTGGATGGAATGTTCAGATGTCCTATGTTTTGAAATGCTGCTTACACTATGATGTTAGTTCGTTCTTGTTGAATGTGGTTTTAGTTTTCGGTTGGACTAGTCGCAGAGAGGCTCCCAATGGATTTCTTTTACTGTCGATTTGGAAAGCTTTGTTTTTCAATGTTTCTTGCTGCTGCTGGAAGAATGGGGTCAACCTTTCCGACCTGGTTTCATGATGGTCTCCAGAGAGCCAAGTCAGTCTTCTGGCTCCAGAACATCATCTGAACAGTGCAATGCAGGGGCAGCTATA